AAGGATTAAAAAAAATATATAAAAATGGGGAATATCGCACTTCTAACAATCTCTGAGAGTATGTGGGCTAAATTTAAAGAATCCGTGCTTCTCGCTTGGACAACTGTATGTGGCCAACTCACACGTCGGAAAACTATTTGATTTATTCGTGTACGCACCAGATGGAAAAACAAAAAATATCGTGTATCCACAAACACTCCAATAAATAAATAGAATTGAAACGACACTTCGAAATGTTTTCTCGACGAAAATGAATAATAATAATAAGTTTCAATAAAAAGGATAAAATGTAAATTGAAATTTACCATAACAAGTTTGCTTGAATTTCGTTTCTTCTGAGATCACAGCAATGCGCGACGGGTAAGCTAGTCTATATATATGAAAATGAATGTGTGTGTGTGTCTGCTTGTCTGTCTGTCCTTCGTGCATTACTACACCGTTTATCCGATTTCCATGAGACTTTGGGAAGTTATTTAATATACTTTCGCGAAGGTTTCTGGCATAGTACATTTATCCTATGATAGATGGCGTGCGTGTATACGAGCATTTCAGCACGGTTAGGAGTTGAAACTTGAAATTTGATACTCAGTTAAGTCAGATGCACACATGCGGCGCAGCAAGGAAAAGCAGTGTTGCAAACACATCTTTGCCGCATGGCGACAATCTGCTTACATTTTGGTGCATGCGTTCAGTATTCAAGATGGCGAACGATACCGATATTGTCACTATCCACGTGTTTACAAATTTTGTTTTGTACAACTTGCTTTATTTAGTTAAAGATTTTGTCGAAGATTCGAATGAAGATTTTGGATTAGAGATACTTTCTTGGATTGATAAAGAACTTGTGTACAAAATACGTTTATTCCTCGATAAAGAATACTATTTCGAGTAAGATTTGGTTGTTTTGTTCTTTGAATTAAATTATATATGATTATTTGTGTAGAATTTGTGTTAAATTTATTATCTTTCCTCTTTATTCTGATGTTAGTTATCTTGGTTAACCACATCAAACTTTCCGCCATTAAAACACCACATGATGGTATTTTCTCATGTGACTACCAGATGAGCTGTTATTGGCTGATAGAAATGCGTCTTGGCAGCAGTTGCCACAAAATATAAAATTCAACCAACTTTTGCAGCACTTGAAAAGCGGCACAAAATCGACTTCTGTGGCGAGAAAAACTGATGTCATCCTGCCGCTTTTCCTTGCCACGCTGCATGTGTGCATCTGGCTTTAGGGTATGTCATGAGAATGCACACTAAAAGGGATTTTTTGAAATCCCCCCGCAGAGAAAGTGACAGGATTAAGGCTTCAACAATGGAAGTGTTAAGAGAAAGCAACGTGCAAGATATGCAAGTGCAGATGTGGTTTTTTTGTGTTAAATCGAACATAATTTTAGACCCATCTAAAAATTTTATAATTAGTCTGGAAACAGGAACCTAATTCTTGCATTCTGTGAAAACGGGTAAGATTGGCTGTAATGTAATAATCTTAATCTTCGCTATCGTTACTGTTTGCCCAAGCAACGCTGGGCTTATCTGCTAGTACATTATAAAATTTCTGTGATTTTAAAATATCCAAGACTTAAAAAAAATGTTATTCCTATAATATTTCCTGGCTGTCCATCATATGTTTTTTCATGCACAACTTCTATATGAGAATTTTTTTTTAAAAACAAAAAAGGAACAAATGATATAGAACAAGCAGTCAAGGAAAGTTTAAAGACTTCAGAAAAGCATAATTCAATATATAAATGTACTAATTGGCAAGAATGTTATGAATGTGCAAAACACAAAGTTTCATCTTTCTGAGACTTGGTGCACCTGTTGCACCTGCCTAGTTATGGCACTGTCTTTGATACTTTTAAAATTTGATAAAAATTATCAAGCCAAAAGTATGGAGTTGACAGAAATCATGAAGACCTGATATTCTAAAAGTATTTAGTTTACTATGTCTTGTCATTGGACACGATTTTCTTTAAGTTTAGATTAGTTTAGTGATAAAAATATTATAGTTTTTTCAAGAAAATATATTAGTTTGATACATAATTCCATTCTAATAAGATAAATTTTAATTTCAAAAACTATTGTAGAAAACAGAATGTATAAATTATATAATTTAAATGATATCATTTAAAATATGAATCTTGCCTTTTTTCTTATTCCTTTGAAAGAGTGGAAAAAATTATATGGTGTAGAGCATATTGACTGTTAAGTGTAATACACAGGCAGATTTACATAGGAACTAATAGGGCTTAAGCTCTGGGCCCCCAAGTGTGAAGTGCTGACAAAAATTGAATTATTATCATAAATTTTTAATACTTTTTCATTAACAATGAGCATTTATCGTATAGTAAAAAATAGTTAATATTAATAATATAATAATAATGATAATTTATAGTATTATTTCTATTAACAAAAAATGAGGCCCTATTGGACTTCAATAAGCCCTAGGCCCCAAAAAACCTAGATCTGTTGCTGGTAATACAGTTTAGATTATTTTATTAAATGATATTCTATGTAATCTGCTAAATATTAGTAAAAAGGACAATTTCAGGATTGAATTTTTTTTCAGGACAATTTTTTTTATTTTCTTTAAACTATGATATCTCACTTGAAATTTGTGCTAGATAAGTATTTTTTAAAATTTAGCTCTCTGCTTTGTGGGCAGAGTCGTTTTTGGCTCTTTTTTTGTGTCAATTATGGGTTTGGCATAACCCACAATGTGGGTGGCCAGTTGGAGAGGACAGGGTTCAACATGTTTCAGGAAACACTGCTAATGAAAAATTTCTGAGACTCTAGATCCAGGCTGAAATCTGGATCCCAGAATGATGCCTTTACCATCTCAGTTATCTTGCCACCACTAAATATGCATTGTTTATTTTTAATCAAAAACATTTATCTTAATTATTATTTTTTGGATGTGAGCCAAATACAGTTCACACACATTTAGAATTTAAGTAGAGCTGCTCTGCATACATCATTGTAAAGAACATTACAAAGCTAGAGAATCTGCTACCAATCTACAATAAGATGACAAATCATTGAATAAGTAAGCAATGCCAAAACAATGGATTGAATGAAGTGACTCATTTTCTTTCTTTTTTTTAATATTTATTCTAATCATTTTTCTAGCTTTTCTCATGGAATTTTGTGAAAGATCAGATTTACAGTGAATAATGTTGAGTTATACATGAATAATAATTATAAAAAATTAATCATTACTTACAACAAAACAGAATCTGAATAAAATGGAAATCTGTCCAGTGGAAAAAATTCTTTGGAATGAAACAATTTTCTGTGTTAAATTCTACCATAAGCCAGAAAAAACCTGTCCAACGTGGAAATAGAAGAGGTTTTTGGGTTCAAAGAACAACCTGGATAAAGCAGAAAATTAAAATTCCATTTGTAGACAAATAAGTGAAATAATTTCCGGGTGTAACAGTTATTGCAAAGCATGACAAACCAAAACTGTATTTTGAGAACAATTTCAAGCCAGGTCAAGGAAATGAAAGTCATGTGACAAGGAGTAATATGATATAGGGTTGTCTCACTGCTGGCCCGAACAAACTCAGCGTCCTAGACAAATGGCTTTGACATCACCCCATTTTTAAAAAATTCATAACAATATAAAACATCAATGTAAAATAGAGTATCTAATTTTTATTCAATATGCAGCATGCAATATTGCAATCGTGAGACTACAGCGCTACTTTCAAAACGGCGACTCGCAGGTCAACACATGAGAAAGGATTGTGATCAAAAAACATTTATTATTATTTATTGTAATTTATGCATGTACTTTTGCCATGCTGACCCCCGAATTCAAGTGCCCTAGGCCATCGCCTGGTTCGCATATATGAACAGGCCGGCCCTGGGTTGTCATTGGAATTAACCATGGGCAGAGTTAAGAACTTCCAAGTGTGGCTGTACACCATATTAATGTATATATTAATTTAAGTATAGTTTTAGTCCTCTTCTTTGTTCTTTGTTTCTTCTTCCTTCCAGAACATTCCTTTTTAACTCTTTTCCTTTGGGTGGGGTAACCAATTCTTGGAACCACATAGAACAATGAAAGAAAAGAGGCCCTGGGGCCAGTGAGGGAAAGAAAGGACATTCTTAGGTCTAGACTTCATGGTGGACAGATGTCGAATGTTGTGCTCCAGGTTGCAAATGGCAACAACTGGAGAATTTGAGAGAGTTTGAGAATTGGATTTTTATCATAGTTACGATAAGAGGGTATAATAAGAGGAGCAAGGAGAAACCTAGTGGAGACAACAATGAGAGACTTTTCAGAAAAGGTTCAACGTGGTATCCCACCCAAAATTGTAAAGTCCAGCAAAATTCTGGGTATTTCACTCCTTACTGTATTCTATTTTTCTAGATTTTCTATCCCTTATCATTTTCTTTCTTTACCTAGTTTTAAGTTAGTATGTAAATATTAGTCATAGTTTTCAGTCATCATTTATACTTGTTGAAAATGATACAATTTGTAACTGCGTGTTGGAATATTGTTTGATGCTATATTGTCATTAATCACTGTAGAGTTGGAATCCAAAAGAACCTGTTCATATATGCGAAATAAAATAATTAGTTTGATTATACTATCACTGAGTTATTTATATGGGATTATACTATCACTGAGTTATTTCCTTTGCTGATCTACATATATTTTGCATGAACATCACACAAGAATCAAACAAGTTTTCAAGAGTTTTCAAGAATCAAGTTCTCGAGAACAAGCAACAAATGTAATTCATGAAAATAATGTGAATAAGATAATACAGTATTGCCAGTTTGTCTTGTGTGGAGTTGTTAGTAACCAATTAGTATCAAGTATTCAAAAATAAGTTGATTAACACTTTGATAATTACAGAGATTGAAGTAAATGATTAATTAGAGTATTAAAATTCCTTGAGAAGTTAGATCATATAATAACTCAGTCTCTGTATTACTATAATTTGATTAGAAGTTTTGACAAACAAGCAAGATGCTGGTTTTTTGGAACTCAAATTGGCTTGTTTGTTGTTATGCAAGCTAATAAGGATGCATCTAAATTTTTACAATTGAATAGTTCTAAATTCTTGCATTCAAATATTTCCATCTTTAGTTGGAATACCTTTGGATTAATTTGCATTAATTGTTAACTGTCAGTTGCCTGTTGTATTATGCAACAACAAAAGGCTCTATCTCCATAAAAATTGAAAATCAAATTTTGCACTGTCATCATGTCTAATTATTATTCTTTTATTGATCCACCTAATATTCTATGTGAAAAACATTCTGTAATAATTACAGAACATTTTTCATACTACATATATTTTTTATTTTTTTATTTTGTTTTTCATTTCTCAAAAGACACTGTGGCCAGGTTGGCCTACAACAAAACCAAAAACAAAACAAAACAAAACAAAAACAGGACGCTAGCTGAGAAAGAAATTGTATTTGATCGTATCAATAAAGTATAAATAATTTCATATTTAGAGAATTTAGTGATAATAAAATATTCAAAATATGTATGCATTTTGCTAAATTTACTAATAATTTTTATTTTAATCAAGGTCCTTCTGAACAAGATAGTCAAGAAGTAAGTCTATCATCATCAGAAGAAGAAATTTCTTCTGACAGTGAACTCTATCATAGTCAAAGAAGCTGCAGTTGGAGATCTGGTTCTTCATGTGGGGTATATATAACAATTAATTATATATTCTTGTAAAATAATATCAGCCATATCACTATTTTAAATAAAGTATATTCTTAGGAATATGATTCTGAACCAGTTGATGGTGATGTTATGTGGGATCACAATGCAACAGATTCAGAAGAATTTGATTTTAAAGCAGCTGATAGAATCAAGATAACTGATCCTTCAGTATATAGAGATTGGTGGTGGGGAAGTGGCTCTAATAAAAGTGGATGGTTATCTGCTGCATACATAAGAGTAAGTATTTTCTTTTCCATATTANATATACATAGAACATATATATTCAAATACAGTTATTATTTTAAAAAATAATTTTATTATATGTATATAAGTTTGTATTAGAAGGAAAAAATCCATTTTCTATTCTTTTAAAACTTGTATTCATGCTGTACTATCAATTGGTTCTATATTTAATTATTTAATAAATCACATTAAACGATTACATTGCTAGATTTACAATTAAAAATTGAACTTGTTACCAGCGTGTATCCTATAAAAAATCATCCCACAAACATTTTCGAACTTTATGAAGGTCTTCAGGAGGAAATGGAATATTTGAGAAAAAATCAAACAGGAGATTTCAAATCGATTATATGTTATATTGCTAGATTATAACATGCAACAAAAATTTTTAAATTAACATTCAGTATATGAAATAACAGATTTCAATTACTGTAAATAATTAATTATAATTTCAAAATTATTTCTCAGTGAAAACTACAGCATTTTATATATTATTTTAGAAAATAGTTATATTCTTTTAAAACAATATCACTTACAGGTTTATTAATAATTTCTAAATTTATATATGGAAATTAAATTTGTAAGTCACATTAATAATTATGAATTATTTTATGCAGTTTATAATTATTAGCATAACTGACAGATGGTATTCCTACAAGTTTAAATATATTCAAATTATGCAGTATCAATTCTTTTAATATCAAGAGGTTATTTCTTTCCTCTATTATTACTTTTCCAGCTCTGTTATATATAACAGAGGTAAAGTATGGTGATCAGTTAAAAAATGATTTCCCAAGATTTTTACATTTTTGGATTTGGGACCATGAAACACCCAGAAATGCAAAAAATTTGGGGGTTTTTTTTGTATGTATTGATTGATATATGTTTGGGGCATGATTTTGTCACCCTCTTTAAAGCTTAATAACTCCTGTGCTTTTTTTCAAAAATTTTTAAAATTTTGCTGGGAGGTTTGTGTATTAAGGAGATCAATGATATTAAATTTTGATAGGTAAAGTTTGATGGGGGTGGGGAGATAAAGGAAGGTTGTGTGTTGTATCTCAAGGAGAGTCAGACTTAATGACAATTTTACTATAGTAACATTTACAAATTTTCATAAAACCTATTCCTACCCTCAAAATTAAGCTTCTTACCATTTTATACTAACTAAAAATATAAAATTGTTAATAATAAAATATCATAACAGATGATGTCATACACACACACAATTATTAATGTTTCCAGGAAAGTTAAGCAACTCTTTGCTGGATTTTTTTAAAATGTAATTCTTATGTACAATCACTTCCTGCCAT